AATGGGGGATCTTACGGTTGTTACAACAAAACCGAAGGAACCAGGATCATCATCAATCAAACATCCTATTCTGACTGCTACAAACTACACGGTATGGGCGATCAAGATGAAGATCCTGTTGAAGTTACACAATTCTGGGATATTATCGAAGAAGAAGGTGCTGACGACGAAAAGAACAACATGGCTATGGCGTTGCTCGTTCAATCAATTCCAGAAGCTCTGGTGTTGCAGGTCGGAGAGTTGGATACTGCAAAGAAGGTTTGGGATGCTATTAAAACTCGACATATGGGGGCTGATAGAGTCAAGGAGGCTCGTCTCCAGACTCTTATGGCTGAGTTTGATCGTCTGACGATGAAGGACAGTGAGACCATTGACGAGTTTAGCGGCAGAATTTCAGAGATTTCATCTAAATCCTCTGCACTTGGAGAAGACATAGAGGAGTCAAAACTCGTCAAGAAGTTTCTGAAGAGCCTTCCACACAAGAAGTATATACATATTGTGGCATCTTTAGAGCAAGTCTTAGACCTTAAGACGACCGGTTTTGAAGATATAATCGGTCGACTAAAGGCCTATGAGGAACGTGTTAACGTAGTGGAGGAGACTTCGGAGGAACAGAACAAGCTGATGCTTACTAACTCCGATCATCAATATGGTCAAAGCGATAACAAGAGCTCTAGTGGTGGATACAATACTGATGGCAGAGGCCGTGGTCGTGGAGGACGTTCATTCAACAAAGGAGGAAGAGGTCGTGGAAGAAATACATATCGAGAAGCTTACCGCGATGCATCAAAGATTATTTGCTACCGATGCGATAAGTTGGGGCACTATGCCTCTGATTGCCCTGATCGTTTGCTTAAACTACAAGAAGCACAAGAGACAAAGGAAGAAGATACACATACGCCAGACGAGTTGATGTTACATGATGTGGTATTTCTTAATGAAGAAAAGGTGAAGCCTAATGTTCTCGAGAATAGTTCAGAGCAGAGTAACATGTGGTACTTGGATAATGGGGCCAGTAACCACATGACCGGAGATTGTTCTTACTTCATCACACTTGACGAAACCATAACAGGAAAAGTTAAGTTTGGTGACGACTCTCGCATTGACATAAAAGGAAAGGGATCGATCAGTTTTGTCTTCTCAAATGGAGTGAAGAAAACTCTGTCAAACGTCTATTTCATCCCTGCTCTTAGGAGTAATATCATAAGCTTGGGGCAAGCCACGGAAGCGGGATGCGAGATAAGAATGAAGGAGGACCTACTATACATATATGATCGAGATAGGAGATTGCTAATAAAGAGTAGTAGAGGAAAGAACAGGCTCTACAAGGTGGTGCTTGAGGCTGAAACTACGTCTTGTATGCAAGTGATAGCTTCAAATACTTCGAGTAGGTGGCATGCAAGGCTTGGGGACATTAATTTTGATAACATGCGGATGATGGTTGATAAAGAATTGGTGACAGAAGTACCAAACTTTGTGATAGAGAAGGAGACGTGCGTCTCGTGTTTACTTGGCAAGCAAGCGAGGAAATCTTTTCCTCAAGCTACGAGTTTCAGAGCATCAGGAAAGCTTGAACTACTACTTGGAGATCTCTGTGGTCCTATTACACCTCCAACAATAGGAAGAAACCGATATGTGTTTGTGATAATTGATGATCACACGAGGTATATGTGGACAATGCTATTAAGAGAAAAGAGCGAGGCATTCGGAAAGTTTAAACGGTTCAAGGCGTTAGTAGAACATGAAGTAGGGGTCAGAATCAAAACGTTTCGAACAGATAGGGGAGGAGAATTTACTTCTCATGAGTTCAATGCTTTCTGTGAAGAGAATGGCATACAGAGACATTTGACTGCACCTTACTCTCCACAACAAAATGGAGTGGTAGAGAGACGGAACAGAATGATTTTGGAGATGACAAGGAGCTTGTTAAAGCACATGAAGGTTCCAAATTACATGTGGGGAGAGGCTGTGAGACATGCGTGTTACCTCATCAACAGAGCAGCAACAAGAAGCTTGTCAGGAGGAACCCCATACGAACTCTTCAAGGGGAACAAGCCAAATGTTGCTCACCTGCGCGTCTTTGGCTGCATCGGTTATGCAAGAGTTGAAGCTCCAGGGCGGAAGAAGCTTGACGATCAATCAAAGGCTCTAGTTCACCTTGGAACTGAGCCAGGAACCAAAGCCTATCGTCTCTTTGATCCAATGAGCAAGAGAATCAGTATCAGCCGAGACGTAGTTTTCATGGAAGATGAGAAGTGGAGTTGGGATACCAAAGATAACGACACAGACGTTGGTCAGATCAGTATAGGCCTTGGGGAATTTGGAAACAGAGGACTCAAGGAAACAGAGGTTTTGGCTGAAACAGAGGAAGAGACGAGAGTGACTAAGGAGGAACACATAGTTGATACTACAAATGAGGTGACTGAGATATCAGATGATGAAGAAGAGCCTCAGGAACAACCACAACTCAGACGCTCCACCAGAGAAACAAGGACACCGGAATATCTGTCTGATTATATTCTCTTGGCAGAAACAGAGTGTGAGTTGCTTCTTAGCTCTATCAATGATGAACCGTGGGACTTCTCAGAGGCAAAAGGTTTAAAAGTATGGATAACGGCCTGTGAAGATGAGATAAACTCGATAGAGAAGAATCAAACTTGGAGATTGGTTGACTTGCCTGCAGGAGTGAAACCCATTGGACTTAAATGCGTGTTCAAAATCAAAAGGAATCTAGATGGGAGTATAAACAAATACAAAGCTAGGATCGTGGCAAAGGGCTATGTCCAGAGACATGGGATAGATTATGATGAAGTGTTTGCGCCGGTTGCTAGGATTGAAACCATTAGGCTTATCATTGCGTTGGCTGCATCTTACGGCTGGGAGGTACATCACTTGGACGTGAAGACAGCTTTCCTCCACGGTGATCTTAAGGAGGAGGTTTATGTGCGTCAACCTGAAGGCTTTGAGGTAAAGGGAAGTGAAGGAAAAGTGTATAAGCTGTCTAAGGCTCTTTATGGTTTGAAGCAGGCCCCTCGGGCTTGGAATGACAAGTTAAACTTCATCCTCAAGGAGTTACAGTTTACGAGATGCTCCAAAGAAGCTTCACTGTATCAAAGAAAGCGGAATGGTCATATACTCATAGTCGCAGTGTATGTAGACGACCTACTAGTAACATGCTCAAATCTGTCGATGATAGTGGAGTTCAAGGAAGAAATGTCAGCAAGATTTGAGATGAGTGACTTGGGAAGATTGACATATTACTTGGGCATCGAGGTGTTGCAGCATAGGAATGGTATTACTTTGCGACAAGAGAGATATGCAAGGAAAATACTAACTGAGACATGAATGGAAGGATGCAACTCTGCTCACGTTCCAATGGATGGGAGCTTAAAGTTATCAATATCAGCTGAAGAGAAGTCAGTCGATGAAAAGAAGTATAGGAGGAGCATTGGTTGCCTAAGATACTTGATTCATACAAGACCGGATCTCTCTTACAACATTGGAGTTTTGAGCAGATACATGACAGAACCTAAGGAGTCTCATGACGCAGCACTGAAGCATGTTCTGAGATACTTGAGTGGAACCTTGGCTTATGGCCTGACCTATAAGCGTGAAGAGAGGCCAGAGTTGCTTGGTTACAGTGATAGTTCTCTTACTGTGGACGTCGACGATGCAAGGAGTATTACAAGACACATATTTTATCTTGGTAAGAGTCCTATCACATGGCGTTCACAGAAGCAGGAGAGTGTAGCATTATCATCCTGCGAAGCTGAGTTCATGGCAGCCACAGAGGCAGCAAAGCATGCGATATGGCTTCAAGACCTTCTGAGTGAAGTCACAGGCGATGAGTGCAGGAAGGTGACCATCAGAGTGGACAATAAATCAGCTATATCACTGACTAAGAACCCAGTCTTTCATGGTCGCAGCAAGCACATACATAGGAGGTTTCACTTCATCCATGAGTGTGTCGAGAAGGGGCTGGTAGACGTGGAACATGTTTCAGGGGAGAGACAAAAGGCTGATATACTGACAAAGGGACTTGGACGCATGAAGTTTAGAGAAATGAGGGAGTTCATTGGTGTTCATGATTCTGCAGAGATTAACTTCAAGCTTAAGGAGGAGTATGTTGGAATAAGCTTGAAGATAATCAAGGAGGAATGAGATACTTGCGGAGGAAGCTAACGAGAAGCCTTATCTAGAAGTTGTGTTTTGAGATAAAGCTGAAATATGACTTAGGAGTTATCTATAATATTCTGTCTTTATCTTTAAGATTAGGTTACTCTTGTTAGCTATATATATGTGTCTATCGAGTTATGATGAGATGCAGTGTGTGTTTCTAAAGCTTGAGGTTTTGAGTCAGTTTCCTCAAGAAGGATTAATAAGAGAGGTTGTCTTATAAGTCTGTTGCATACACGAAGTTCTTATAGTGTTCAGTTTCAACAGAAACGACTCGAATTCGACGAGGCAAGTAATTTTACTCTTCTCTCCTTCTACATTTTCAAGCATAATTATAGTAACCAAGAAAATAAGATGAATATAATAGCGCTAAAACTGTGAAACATTGTTCTTTGAATGTATCCAGGATAATGGAAATCAAAAATCTTAAAGATCTGACGGATTCAATAGATCCAGATGTGAAAGGTGGCCGCTTGGAAAATCTTCATTTGTAATCGTTATAACGTTTGTGGCCTTTGGCATAACGCATAAACTCTACTGTGCGGTTTCAAATATGTGGCTGAACACTATGATTTCAGAACTGGACTGAAGTATTTCTTAACCTAAAAGCCTTAAGCAAACTAATAAAGGTAACGTTCTTTGTAAAGCATACTTCTTGAATTGATAGTGATGTTCAGTTAAGTGATAATAACTTCATTTACAATATCAGGAGGAAAATGTGGAGAGGGAATGTGTTTCAGACATGCTAAAAGATTGTCTGAAAGCAGTGTGGATTACTTTTTGAAGACACAAGTGTATAGTCACTCTGTTTTTGGTGTGTTTGCATGTTTTGTCACTACTCAAAACATTGCTGTAAGAAGTATTTGATTGATTTATAAAATTATCTTTTTACATTTTCAAATTTGTTTGCGTGTACGTTTTTGTCACTTCTCTTATGAGTTAGCGGATTTAGCAAATATAAAATATGGTATTAACTTTACCCACAAGGCATTTAAAAATAAATGAATTATTTTTCTTCACTTTGCAATTTACCAACAAGGTTATTAAACCAAGGAATAAAAATATCATTTAAAATATTCTAACCATCACACTTTTTTATCCAACAAATATAAAAAATCTCAGTTTAATTATAATTGTTTTATTAAATATAGAAATTTCAAATTTCTATAAAAATTAATCAGTAAAAGTTTCTTTTATAAAAAAATTACAACTCTGTTTAATTTTAGTTTCATATTCTATGTTTTATACGTGATTAACGAACCAACTAATTATAAATTTTAATTATTTAAATCCAAAAATGTGAAATGGTAAGATCTAAAAATAAAACCGCACATATGTCTTGAATGGTGACAGATAGAATTGCACCATAACTAACAGTAACAAAGAAAAACTATATATAATATATGCATATATATCCATAGTTGGTTCACTGATCATGACCCATCATTACGGTTTAATCAGTTTGAAACTCACAAAAATTGATAAAAAGCAATAATATCTAAATCGCAATGGGCCATAATAGATACAATTAATTTGTTTGCTTTTATGTAGTGATTTTAAATTGATCTGTAAGGCCATATATGTTCACATATCTATTGGTTTTGCATTGCAGATCAGTGTGTAGATTGGTTGACTTCTTCTCTAAAGGCTTCAGAATCGAGTCGGAAGGGTTTGATATACAGCTTTGTTGCCAAAGGAACAGTCGTATTAGCAGAGCATACTCCTTATTCTGGAAACTTTAGCACCATTTCTGTTCAATGTCTTCAGAAGCTTTCCACTAATAGCAGAAAGTATACTTACTCATGTGATGGTCACACCTTCAATTTCCTCGTTGACAATTGTTTTGGTGAGTTCTCTTCTTTTTTTTTTGTATTCGATGCTTGTTAGTTAATTGAAACTTTTCTTTCTTTCTTACTTGTGGTTTGATGATGCCTTTGATTGTGTGTATATGTTAGTGTTTCTTGTGGTTGTTGATGAGTCCATTGGAATAAGTTTTTCTTATGTGTTTCTTGAATGTGTTAAGGAGACTTCAAGAAACGGTATGGGGCAAGTATAAAGAATGATGACCCACACCCTCTTGTCGTTGATGACAAAGACGATGATTTGTTTGGTGATCGGTTTAGCATTGCTTACAATCTTGACAGTGTTCCGGTCTATATGTAGCCATAACTGTCTGATATTGTTTTGCATTGCAATTGTATGCTTAGTTTTTCTTCCTTTTTTCATGTCTAACATGCCAATACTTAAGTAGCATATGCAATATTGTATGGGCCATCCAGAAGAGATGAGAAAACTTTCAAAATTGAAGGCCCAAATAACTGATGTTAAGGGAATCATGATAGACAATATGAGACATTTTTATATATTAGTAGCACGCTACTCTTGAATTTTTTTATGTGATAGCAGTTTTATTTGAATGGTATAACACACAATTTTTGTAAAAAACACTGTAAGGAAGGGTACTAAACAACTCATAATTTACGGAAGAGCTATTTTCCCCAGAGTAACTAGATCCTTTCTCATGTTAATCATGCTGCTAAAACAATCAAGTTTTTTTTTCTTTCAACCATTTCTTCATTAGTCTATATCTGATAAGTTATATTGTGTGCGGACTAATGTGTTATATGTGGGAACCGAAATTCACACTTGTCGATTTCCGTTAAATAAGGAAACTTAGGAAAACCCTAATTTTCCAGAGGAACCGGATCTCTGCGAAAGACAACGACAAGTAACCAAATAAATGCGGAAAAATATGAAAACATAATAAAACGAATTTATAAAGAAAGTCGATCTTATTTCCGATTCGCGTAAGAGCGTTGCGATCATTACAAGGAATTACAAAGGCTTTGGCCGCAGGGGCCATCAGCGAGTTACAAACATAAAACCCTAGATCTAGTTGAGTCGCAGCTCGATAACGAAAAACGGAAAAAGATAGGAAAAAAGGTTTGAATGAT